CGCGCGCTCCGGCCCCCCCGGCGGCTCCGGGTCTGCCCACCCGAGCAGACACCCCTGGGGGCTCCCTTCTTCCTCCCGCGCTCCCCGTCCTCTCATCGACCGTAACCCTTTCGACTCTGCCACCGGGCAACTTCCATAGAAGGTGAGGCTCCCATCCCAGCTCAAGACGACTGCACACACCTCCGCTGGCCAGTGTCGGGACTTCGGGGTCAGACCTCAAAACGCCCGGACACGTTCGGAACAGCTCTGTGCTCCGGGTCTGGCGCTACCATGCCGTCGCACCCATCCACCCACCGGCCGGACATAGCGCCCTCCATCCCCGCAACCCCACGGCGCCGGCGCCCCGAACCTCGGCACCCCTCCCGCCCCGAGCGCCGCGGGGACCCTCCTCACTCCCGCGGGGACAGACCTCCCAGGGACCCACCCGCAGCCCCGGCCGATTCCTCCGGGCGGGAAGCTGCCCGTCCCAAATAGGACCAAGGGGGCGGGACCTTGGCCATCCCCTCCTGGCTCCAGGGGCAGTGCCCACGCTCCCCACCGGCCGGTACCTCGTCCGCTTCCAGCTCGGCTCCGTTGCCTACGAGCGCCATATTCCCCTTCGGCCTTTCGCCGCCCAAAACCAAGCAGGGAGCTCAGAGCCGACTCGGTTTCTCCGCTCCGGGCTCAGCCCAGCGCCGGTGTGGGAGGAAGGGGGCGGTCCCCGCCCTCCCGCCGGATCCCGGGCGGGGCCAGAGCGCTGCTAAGCCAGCGCTCTCCCCGCCTCCCGCGCCCATCTCCCGAAGGGGCGCCGGGCCGCCCTCCCCGCCACAGGCTCCGCCCCCACATGCCTCGCCCCGCCCCCTCACCGGTTCAGCCAACCAGGTTCCTGCAACGAGTCTCTGTCCCCAGTCGGCCTCCGCCTCGGACCCCGGTGGGCGGGGTCACTCAGTGGGCGGAGTCACCTCGCACGCCGAGACTACCCGAGTCGGGTCCACCTGAGGGTCTCGGCTTCCAGCGCTCTGCAGAGGGCTGGTACTCATCTGGAGCCGAGAGAGAGCCGGATTGATGAGGCCAAGGTCAAAGCCGGGCTACCCCTGAGGCCTATGAAGCATCCTCCTGGTCCTTGGACTGATGCCAGCCCTCTCCCTCGCATCTCACAGATGGTGTGTCACCGTCACCGGTCACCTAGAGGCTTCTATCACACCACCTGCCAAGACACTAGGTCAGTCCAGGGCATCATCTTCAGACACAGGGACGCTGAGTTTGCATCAGTGTATGTTTAAAGACTAAAAGAAAAACCATGGGACAGATATACTACTTAGTGCTCCTCTACCCCTCCTTCCACTACCTTGTCACCTTTATGTCCCCCAGCATCCCACACTGACCCCTTTGTCACCGCAAAAATATGTGTGTAACCTGAGCTCAAACTATAAGTTCCATCAGTGTAGGAATGCTGTCTGTCTACTTCAAGGCTGTAACCCCAGCACTTGGAAGAGTTCTCTGCACATAGTAGGTGCACAACAAATATTTGTTGCCTGAGTTTAGAAATTGATTCTTGCTTCTAACATGTAAAATAATCTGAGTATCCAACTGGTAAATTCAAAGCTATATTTTCAGGAGAGAAGGGGTTGTCAGCCTTATTTTATGTACTATAAAATTCACCCAGTTTAAGTGTATAATTCGGTGACAAATGTTTACAAAACACCATCCTCATCATAATATAGAAAACCCCCAAAAGTTCTCTGTGCCTCTTTGCTGTCAATTTCCTATCCCCAGTCCCTGGCCTCTGGCAACCACTGATCTGCTTTCTACCACCATCATCTACCTTTTCTAGAATTTCATATAAATTAAATCATAGAGCATATGGTCTTCTCTGTCTGCTCATGAAAGACTAATGGTCATCAGGTGATAATTATAAAAATAGCTAACATTTATTGAGTATTTTCTATGTACCAGGAGTATGTTAAGCTCCTTGCATATATTATTTCATTTATTCTTCATAACCCCATGAAGTAGGTACTGTCAACTTACAGATAAGTAAACACAGGCTCAGTAACTTTAAGTAACTTGCTTGAGGTCAGACAGCTATTAAGCAAGTGGGGATGTCAGAATCCAACAGCCTGACTTGAGGGTGTGCCTGGTAACCATTGCTCTGCACTTCCTCCAGCCACCTCCCGTCTCTTTCTTCCTATTAGTTTCAGTAGAGCAACTGCCTGCACATGTCTGTTACACATATTTTCAGTGAATCATCTTTGCATCCTTGAAACTTGCTCTACAATTCTAATGAGTTGCTATGTAACTTTATACTAGAAAAATAAATAAAATGGTTTCTACCCTATAAACAACATGGAAAAAATGGGTTCGATTGTGGTGATGGTTGCACAACTCTGACTTTACTACAAATCATGAACTGTATATTTATAGTAGGTGAGTATAATAGTTATATACATTATATGTCAATAAAGCCTTATTTTAAAACTGATCAACACACCTATTGGATATCCTTAGAATCAGATATAAGGGAATAAAAGGGACCAAGAGATCACTTAATTCCAATACCCCTGAAAGTTTCCATTCTTCCCCACAACCTCCTGTTTATGCTTCACTTCCTGAGGCCAGATTTCCTGTCTGGGTCCAGATTCTACTCTGTATTACTCATGCATGATTCCGTTTTATGAAGTTCATTGGTTCTTAAATTAATATCACATCTTTTTGACATCTCATTGGTGGCTTCTTCCTTCCCCATATGCTTTGTTATTGTCTGACTTCTGAATTTCAATTCTTCAAATATTAAAGAGATACAAAAGAACTTGGCTCTAATTACTGTCATGATTATGTTATAATGAGAATCAAATCTAACTTTCTGAACATCTATTCTTATAGATGAAGTTTGGTCTGTTATTTCTTTTAGTACTGGGGTTCAAATCTGAAGCCCTGTATGTTTTTGTTGTTGTTTTTAATATATCTTGATTTCAGAGAGAGGAAGGGAGAGGGAGAGAGAGAGTTGAAACACCAATGATGAGAGAGTCGTCATTGATGGGCTGCCTCCTGCACGCCCCCGACTGGGGATCAAGCCCTCAGTCCGGGCATGTGCCCTGATCAGGAATCCAACCGCAATCTCCTGGATCCTAGGTCAATGCTCAAGCACTGAGCCACACCTGGCGGGCCCTGTATGTTTTAAATTCACATCACTAGATGAACAACAGTCATATTTCTGAGGAAGCCAATTATAAACACTGAATGAATAAGTGTGTTCTAGCCGCTGGAACATCTAATCAAATTTGCTTTGCTCCTGGCAAATGCCAACTTTCTTTTCCTGCACATGTGTGATTCTACAAGATCATGAATCATAAATACAAAACAGCTTTTTTCAAAGAACAATTAGGGTGGATTCATTTTTATAACAAAATTTCCCTTGCCAGTTTGCTGATAACAAACATTGTAGATTGCTCAGATCTTCTGTAACTAGCATAGGGATTAAGCAAGAGTAGTGTCTGAATTTTTTTTTTTTACATTGAAGGTACACCTTCAGTGTTTGGGTTTCAAAATAAATCTAATATTGCAAAAATCATTAATATTTGGTTTAAATAAAAATTGCATTCTCATCTGTGTAGTGGAGATAGAATGGTTCTGCATTTAGAAATTAAAATTTTCAGATGCTCATATTCATAAAGTAAGTGCTCACTGTAAATCATGCATTTGTCAATGGCTTTGTCTCATATTCATGTCTTAGTTCCTCAAGAACTTCCCCTTCTAAAATAGGCCCTCCCTCTCAGTCCCCGGCTACCACATCCTCCGGCTGCCTTCCTAGCACTTAGCACTATCTGAAACTACCTTGTTCATTTATTTGTTTACTTGTTGGTGGTCTATCTCCCTCAACAACAACAACAACAACACACACACATTATAATGTAAGCTCCATGAGAGAAGGAACATTGTGTTTTGTGTTTACAGCAAAACCACAGTGCCCAACACATCATGGATACTTAATAAATAGATATTGAGGAAATGAGTGAAAGTATAAAAAAGTTCATAGTATACATAGCATTTTGTTTAGACCTGGAAGTGCCAAAGCTTTAGCATAATGGGTTTTTTTTAAAACAGAGAAAACCGGTAATAATGAGGGAGATTAAAGAACACAAATTACATAAAATCTAAAAAATAAATACTATTTTTCTTAGGGTAATGTGTCAGGAAGACTGACTATTTTAATACCTACTCATTTTTCAGAATTACAAAAGAGCTTAGAGGTCCCTCAGTGACCCAGAGAGGACTAACTCACATCTCTGGGAGAAGTTTAAATGCTGGGGGAAACTCATCATTTAGTGTAGGCTGAAATCCTCCCTCAAGAACATCCCTTTTCTAGGAATTTGCAGCTGGGTAAACATTTATTTTGCCTTGTTTATCAAGCATCTGTTCGCTTTTTCACATATATATATACAAACTTTTCAATCATCTTACTATTTATTTTTACTGTACACTTTAAATTAACCTCATTTTTTCACATGAGGAAAGTGAGACCCAGAGAAGAGAAAAGACACACGAAGTCTGACTTTGACAATATGAGACTTCAGAGTGGAGCGCTGAGGATTTAGAAGCACGAATACCTAAGCAACCTGCAGCCGAGGCTGCTCATTGCCACCTGCTGTCCATTCTCCCTTCTCCTTAGTAAGAGAGCCTGATTTCACCCTGGGCAGCACGATGCTCACCGAAAAGATTACGTTCTCAAGGACTCCTTTACAGCTAGGCATGGCCCACGTAACTAAATTCTGGCCAATAAAATAAATTACAGTTGCCCGGCCGGGCATGGCTCAGCGGTTGAGCGTCGACCTAGGATCCAGGCGATCAGAGTTCAGTTCCCGGTCAGGGCACATGCCCGGGTTGCGGGCTCGATCAATGACTCTCTCATCATTGGTGTTTCTATCTCTCTCTCCCTCTCACTTCCTCTCTCTGAAATCAATAAAGATATACATTTTTTTAAATAAATAAATAAATAAATTACAGTTGACTTTCAAGAAGTCTATTTAAAGGGAAGTGACCCCACACGTGCCCTTTTGCCTTCCGCCTCTCCTTCCCACAGCCTGAGTCAGACGTGGTGGTCGGAACTCCTGCCACCCTAATGAAGTAATACCTTGAGGTTGGAACCCACAAAGTAGAATCTTGGCATAAAAAAGACAGAAGGAGTCTGGATTCCTGATAACGGGGGCTACCCGACATGTACTTGACTACCAACCTCAGATTTTCTATTGCACGAATGATAAATCAATAACTGTCTTTCTTCAGGTCACCATTATATTGAGATTTCAGTTATACGCTAACAAACATAAATCTAAATGTCTACATAAGTAATTCAGTGTTCTTAGATGTTCTGGCTTCCAAATACCTTCCCGCTCACTCCAGCCAAAGCATTCAGGACTTCTGGTCAGTGCTGGATTGGCATAGCTGACGTGGAGCGGTTTTGCAACCCTCGTACACAACTTTTGCACACCTTCCCTCCTGAGGGCACTTCCCCCCAGCCCTCTTTCTCCGGGTTCCTTTGTACCTTCTTTCCTGGCATGTTTCCTCTCAAATGGCCTTGTCCTGTAAGTCCAAATAGTCTCCCCGTTCTGAAGAATACTAGCATCTTTTTAAAAATGACATTCTCATTGTATTTCATGAATACTTTTTTTTTTAAG